CACCACACACACACACACACACACACACAAACACACACATGCGAGATCGTGGCCTGAACACATCACTCGCCACTCCGCGACTTTCCACAAGGAGAGACGCATCATGTGCACTGTCAGAAGCGCCCGCACAGAACGCTGTTCCCAGCAGCCACACGACACTGGGCTTGGACACCCCCTCACCACTGCCGAAACGGAAAACGGGTGAACGCATCTTCCCGCAGAGAACGGCAAGATGCATCCGTTACTGTGAATATCAATGGAAGCGTCGAACCACTTTTTCCGCCCGATACATTCGTTCTCTTTCTGTTTAGACGGTGGCGTGCCGAGGCCCAGTGTGCTTCTCATACGTAGCCGGCTTGAGCCTTCAAAAAAACCGGCTACCTATGAGAACCCAAAAAAGCCGGCTACCTATGAGAACCAAAAAAATCGGCTCGAGCGGAGGATTTGCGTTTCCGAATTGAAGTTGGCCATTCCTTTGAAAGCTGGAAATTTAAGGACTTCACGAACACACAGAAGAAGAAGAAGAAGAAGAAGAAGAAGAAGAAGAAGAAGACGAAGAAGAAGAAGAAGAAGAGGAAGTTGATCGTACTGATTTTGGCGCCATACGGCTTCGGCTGCACGCGCCGTGACATTGGCGGATGCTCGACGAGAAGTCATTCAACATAGGAAGAAGAAGTGGTAGAAAAAGACGAAGAAAACTCGACGAGACGGCATACAACAGAGGAAGAAGAAGAGAGAAAGAAGAAAAGAAGAGGAACAAGAACCTGGGGAAGTGCCGACAGAGTTCTATTAGACAAACATAAGCATATGAATCACTGCACAAAATAAAGAAAAAGAAAGGCTGCAGTCTAGTACACCGAACCAGACGACTTCTCGACACAGTGCGGGAAAAGCTTTCACGACATGTGCGAGGTTATGAAGAGCAACGCCCAAAAACACCCTGTTATTTATTAGAATGAAAAGATAAATAATAAATACACCATAAGTGCCAACGACCAAACTCCTCGTCAATGGCCGATGCAGCCCGCGGAATGTCGACGGTCAATCCACAAACCTCGCATCTCTCTGTCCCACCCACTCGTTACCCATACCAACATCTCTCTCTCTCTCTCTCTC